TCAGCGTACGTGTTTGTACCTAGAAATAGCTAGTCGTCTATTTTAGCATCTGACCTAATTCTGTCTTTGCAATAATGTAACAAAAATGGAAATAAAACAAACAAGAAATCACAAACCTTGTGTCATCTTCGCCTTCAAAATTTTTGAATATTTAAAAACTGGGGGAAAAGGGGCGTAACCGCCCATTTTTACACCATTTCCCCAGTTTTTTAATATTAATAAATCTGTATCTCATTCACCGTTGCTCAGTTTTTGATCAAACTACTTTTTTCTGTCTTAGAAAAATCAGTTCTACAACATATCAAATTTTTTTTTCCCTCCGGAGCCTGACTTTAAGAGTACCATGGCAATAAATATGTGGAAACATTTCTTTCCACAATTATACGCCAGTTATGCAACTAAAGAAATAGGCCTAGCAAGTTGGGTGATTTTCTCGGGCTTATGAATATAACAGAAGCATGAAAAGGCTTTTAAAATGTACCGCATGCAATTATCAATGTATTGATAATTTTATATGGAAAATATAAATATGGAAATACATATTTCCTTTACAATATTATTATAACATGATCAGAACATTTATGGTAAATGGAAACGTAACAGACAAGAAAAAAAAAAACGTATGCGAAACTAATCTATTGACTATACTTATTCCATAGATTTGTATTTGATTCAAGCATTAATAAAAATGATATCAATATATATAGCAAGAACCAAAAAACGTATCTCAAACTCGGACAACTTCGTAACATCTGCGTTGTTTCTGTAAAAAAAGAAAAATAGCACCAAGTTATACAGTAATATAGTAAAAATAACAAACTTTAATACTAATAAAAATAATTGTTAATAAACTAATGTTACAGTAATTTAAATGACAAATTGGCTGGTTTTTCCAGATACAATGTAAATTTAAAAAAAATAATAATAATAACAATAATAATAATAATAATAATAATAATATATAACATTATATCATATTTTAGTATTTATTTTATTTGCTGTATTTGTTATGTAGTAGAAAGCGTAGGATTCATAAAACGAAAATAAAAACAATAACAAACTTTAATACTAATAAAAATAATTGTTAATAAACTAATGTTACAGTAATTTAAATGACAAATTGTCTTGTTTTTTCCAGATACAATGTAAATAAATAACAATAATAATATAATAATAATAATAATAATATATAACATCATATCATATTTTAGAATTTATTTTATTTGCTGTATTTGTTATGTAGTAGAAAGCGTAGGATTCATAACAAAACGAAAATAAAAACCGTCCAATAATATTAAATGATAGTTTAGTAATAATAGTATTAATTTTACTTGCTTTTAAGTAGCCTGTTGTTACTTATTAGAAATACAACAAAACATAAATGAAAAAAATATGATAAACCGATTGACGAACTTGCAATGATAATTAGGCCTAGTTATATTAAATTTAGCGTTTCCAAACTCCATTGGCGCTCCATGTATTTGTTGAAAACAAACTGCGACCGAAACGAAGCGCGACCGAAATGATTTGTATTCCTGGCGCCAACCTTGGTTCCAACTTCCAGGCCCTAATTTGGATAACCCAGTGAATTATAAGAAATATACCTTTTTGTTGCGTTTAGTGCGCGCCATACTAAATTCAATTGGCGTCCCATATTCTATTTCAAATTAATCCGGTTTGTTGGTGGCGCTTTCCAAAGAAGACTTGTGACTTGTGATGAAACGATAAAACCAAGAGAGTTACTTACTGATTATGATGAAATGAAACCACATTGTTGATTGTTTAAGAGGTAAACATATTACAGGCACACCAAGACCTTGGAAGTAGAACATATCAATATTTGTTTGACTCGCAATTTATAATAACAGGAAACAATCGTTCCTAGGCTTGGCGCGCCTAGGGCCTAGGCCTAGACTAACTAGGCTACTACTAGACTGTAGCTAGGCATAGCTAGCCCTAGGATGAGGCTAAAGGCCCTAGGCTAGGCCTATCCTAATGCTGCTGCATGGGCCATATCCATAATGTGATAATGGTGGCAGGTCAACTTGGCCCGAAGTCAACTCGGCCCCAGTCAACTTGGGCCCCAAGCCAACTCGGCTCCAAGTCAACTCGGCCGGCCCCAAGCCAAGTTAAATCGGTCCCATGTCAACTTGGCCCCAAGTCAACTCGGCCCCATTTTACTGTATATTTACGAAATATTAAATTACCAAAAGAAATTTGAATTCAAAGCCAAAATTAGAGGTTTAAATCGTGGCCTTTGTTATTCCTTTTTCATTTACAATAATAAAAACAGAATATTTAGCTTGTGCCTAAAGAAATGGAATGAAATGAAATAAAATTCATGGTATTCGTTTCTTATTATTTTATAAATAAGGATGGTTTAGATTTTACCTATTATATCATGATTTATATACGTGTATATAATTATATAATATTATATTAAATTTTAATTCTTTTTACTTTACTATCTATTCTATTTAAACCACACTTCTACTTAACTTAACTACGTGCAATCTTCAGGTACTCAATATGACAGTACATTTTAGTGCTCAGATATAACTATTCAAATTATCGAAATTTTACTAAGTATACCTAAACATTACTTTCTCCCTATTGACGATTATTATACCAATTTACTTTTTTTATTGGGTTTTAGTTTGTTACGCATGTTTTTGTAGCGTTTCTCAAAAAGGCACATGTTCCACTTTTTGGAGCTAGGTCAGTATGAGGTCATCTTTTTTTCTTTTTTTTTAGTATTTTTTTCTGTTACCCATTCCCAAATAATAAATAATTAATACGGTATATATAGATATATATATTTTTAAATTTTTATTTCTTTATTTTTATTTATTTTTTATTTATTTATTTCTTCATGTCATGGTCACAGGATGTTTTTTGCAAACTTCTCAGGACCTGGCCTTCTTTAAAATTTTTGTGTTACTTTGTATTTCCAACTTCGCATTTTCTTGTTTTACCATTGGAAGAAAATAAATGTTTTGTTGAATTGAATGGAATTCCCCCATTTTAATTCAATGATTCACTGCAATGATTTTCCATGCAAATTTGAGCCAGTTTTTGATATATTGCCTACGCATTAAAAATATTGGATCTTCCCAGCATTTTTTTCCTATAGCCCTCTGAGTGGTAAGTAACCAATCGCCAGGGATCCAAAGGTGGAAGAGCCACTGCGGGAGATCAGGCTAAATAAGTTTTCCTAACGCATTGAAAGTTATTTTGTTGTGCACAATGATACCTTTCACTAGCTGACTTCCAAGAGACAATTAATAATACAATGAATTTGTGATGGATGGGTTATTTTTTCCCGGAGGTTCATGCTTTCTTGTGGGAGTGCAGCAGGCAGTCTCGATTTCGGAGAGACTCCACAATTAGCGGGAGATTTTGACCCCTATTCCACATCTGTCTGTATTGAACCAATTTTTTCAATAGTTATCATAAATATACACATGCTTCATTTATCAACTCATGCTTAAGATGCAATGAACAAATTCTCTTTAAGATAATTCTAATTGGAAAATGGATGACAAAGATGACAGCAATCATTTTTCAGCAACTGATACAGATTCAAAAGACATAAAGCTAATTCAACCCTTTGGAAGACATTCAACTGAAGTTTCACCATTTATACAAACGTCAAATATAGGTTAGTACCTGGATAATAATGCTGTTACATTTTCGCTTGTATCTCATCATAACTTTGGTATCAAGCTAAATAGCATTTTAATGAATTATAAAATGATAATTTGTGTATTGCATTCATGCTTTACATTTGTTTACCTATATGCCCTCTAATACTTTCAGTAGGCCTTCAAGTCTACAATGCCTGTATGCCCTCTGATGTTTTTATTTTCTGTACACTTTGCCTACAGTATATGACCTTTAATGTCTACATGCCCTTATGACGCTACAGAATACGAAAAATCAAAGGAAATTGATTTTGTTGACAAAGCAAAAAAAAAAACCGTGCAAACCTTTAAATATACAATACAAGTATAAATAAGGAGTTTAAGGTTCCTATCTTCAGTCCACACTCAGTAAATTTTAAAAGTGTTTCTATGGTACCCGGAAATTGTATTCTCAGCAAATATAAATGCATTTTCAAAGCAGTTTTCCCTCTCAAAATGATTAACTTTTTCCATGAAGGAGATCCTTCTACCCCTCGAATGCCCCGCTGGCACTGGCGAGGGTGTGTACATGGTGTGTACTATTGGAGTATTTTTCTTTAAATCATATGCTGGGAAGATGAATTGTTTGCCGGCACATATTAGTGTTAGAATGAATGCTACAGATATCAATTATTAATTCTATGTATTTGATAATCACTTGATTTCATTTTTTATTATTGCCTTTGAAGCTCCAAATGTAAATCCATTTGCGACAGGATCACTTGAGACCAGTGCTAGTACAGAGAAATCAACTCCGAATTTATTTGCTACATCTTTCAAACCTATCTTTGGATTTGCCGGACCTTCTCAACCAAATTTAAGCTCAGCAGTAGATTTTCAAAGTCATGAGACTAGTGGAACACAGAAACAATCAAATCTGTTTGGTGGAAATAGAAATGCAAACAAAAGCAAACAAGAACCCTCTATATTTGGTCGGTTAGCGCCGTCTAAGAATACCTTTACACAGCCTAGGGTTGGAGAAGATTCAGCTGGAATAGGTATTAGTATCACACATGCACAGCAAGAAACAGACATAACTGGCATTGATCCAGAGACTGGTGGACCCATGGTTACACGTGACAGCAAAAATAAAAACACAGGATTGTTCACTGGCAGGAAAATAGATTTAAAAAAACAATCAAAAACCAGTCCAGCTAGAACCCGTAAGGATGAAGCAAGTGCTAGACCACGTGGCATGCATGATGTGCCATCCTCTAAGCGTGGTCGTAGAGAAGATTCAGATGTATTTTCACAAAAAAGTGCATCACGTACAATATCTAAAGTAGATAACACATTCGGAGACCCCTCTGCAGTTGATATCTCAGAGCTGGAGAAATTTGGAGCTAGGCAAACCAAATCCCCAGGCAGTTCTCCACGCAAAAAGAAATCTGAGACAAGAAGAGGTGGGATATTTAGTGCTGCATTAAAAGGAACTGGGATGAAAACAGAAAAGAAAGAAATTCTAAAGAAGTCTCAAAAAGGTATTATACATACAAGTTCAATTTTAAATATGGCAGCATTTTTGCAAGTGTACACACAGTACAACCATAGCCACCACGATTACCGTAACCATCAAAAACTGCCACCACAAAGAACTACCATCAACAGCCACTACCACCAAAAAGTAATACCAGCCACCATTACCAAAAATACCCACTACAAACAACTACCACCAACTAACAGCCTACAAACAGAAAATACTGCTAACAACCACAACCAGCCACAGGCCAGCAGCCGTTACAACAACAAATGTAACAACAAATACAATAACGATCACCCTCAACTAACAACATCTACCAACAACAACCCTCAACTAACAACATCTACCAGCAACCAATACAAAAACAACCACCCTCAACTAACAACATCTCAACAACAAACACCCGTAAAGCTATATTTAACAAAAAAAAAAAAAAAAAGCAGCAACAACGGCCTTTAACAAACAACGAATACATACAACCACTGTCAATTTACAAAAAATAATACTACTAACCCAACCACCACAAACAACTCTCACTACCAACAGCTGACACCCACCCTCCCCACCCCCCCAACTAACAATAACCACAAACAAAAACATGAACAGCAATAACAGTACTTAACTAACAGCAAGCACGACAAGTCACTGTAAACAACAGCCACCATGGTATCCCTTTCCTAATAGCTGAAAGGGCTACCAAACATGATTTTCAAAAAGCAGGTCATTGGTTATTTATTAAAACTTACTTTTGTTTAATTTCTAATAAGCTGATTCAAGAAGCCAGATGACCCGACAAGTGTCAAAATCCCCTGACGACAACAGATCAAGAATTTCAGTTCGAGGAATTCCTGATCACCTGAACAACAAAGATACCTTACGACGGCATTTTAGTCAATATGGAGAAGTACGGGGAGTCTACCCTATCATAAAGAAACAAGGTGCCACAATTGTTTACAGGCATCATGTAAGTTTACGCTGATGACAATGTCACTACAAGTGCTACTTTATTGATAACGACTGATAAAACAAAACTTGTTATAAATTTTGAACCCATCTGGGAGAAATCCTATGTTCATTTTCCAAAACAAACATTTTTTTCAACATAATTTGGTTGTTTTTACAGGATGCTGCTGTCAAAGCTAAGACCAATGGCAGATGGTTAGAACGTGGAAGCAAACCATTATCAATATTCCTTATTAAAGGAACACGTAGAGCCACTGTATCAGGTAACTTAACCATTATCAGTATTCCTAATTAAATTTTGGACTCCGACTAAGAGCCTTGGTCGGAGTCCAAAATAAAAATCCCTTATAGGATCCATGAGGAGAGTTGTTATGGCTTAGTATTGCCAAAATTGTGTTTTTAGGCCATGATATTAGGGATGTGCATCAAAATAGTGTAAAATAGCCAATTTATTATTTTTGGTCCAATGACCCCATTCAATTCCCTTTTGCTGGTGCCACCACTGTTTTTAACTCCTAAATTCCCCTTTAAATTGATAATTGTTTTGTTGGAATAGCAAAAGGAAAAGATTTCATGAGACAGGAAAAAAGTTACATAATTATTAACTAATATTCAAGCCATTTATATGAAATGAATTTTTTCTATTTCTGTAATAGTTTTCCTATAGACAGTTGCTAAGATGTTGCTGATCACAATTGAAATGCTAATGCAACAGTACATTTTTCACACTTGGTACAAGAAGAAAGAATCATTTTTTGATTGTATGTTTCACTATGGTTGTGCAGCATTTTATACCAAGTTTTTCACTGCATTAACAGTTAGTTTTTATTGACAGATGAAGATGGTAAAGAAGTTCAAAAGGTGAAGAAACTGGGCATAAAAGACCAAGCTGTTAAACGTGAGGTAAGCCCACGACCACTAGCAACTCCAGAGAAAACCAGAGACAAGCCACAGACAGTAGGTAAGTGAATGTTCGCGAACTTATTTTTTTAAAGAGGCGGGAAAAAATTAAAGATAAGATTTTTGTTTCCTTATTTCACAAATGGCTTTGCTAAAAACATCCAGACGGAGGAGGAAATAAAAATAAAATTTGTATTGGTGAATGTAAAGAGTGTAATAATGGAATGGTTAAATGCTTTAGATTTATATAATTAGGAAGAAATATACAGTACATACCTTATTTTTGGGATATTTCAAGACAGCGGCTGGCGTAATAAAAATAATTTAAATTTTAATAATAATAATGTTGTATGTAAATTCGCCATGAAAAACAAATTTCCAACATGTTTTAATGTTTGGACAAATAAAAGTTTATCTTATCTTAAAGAAAAACTTTTATTTTTTTTCTGAAATCTCCATTTTTCATGGTGGCGGGGGCACTAATTGGCTAAAAACAAAATTTTATTTTTATTTGAATGATTATTGGTGGGCGGCAGGTTTGCTAAACAAGGTATAAAAAGACTTGCCCTGCTGTTTAATTTTACCTTATTATTATTATTGTTTGAATTAGTGGTCATGTCTTAAAGTTTGTTTTACAAACTTATTTTGACGTCCTACCGCACACTTTTTCTCTCTGATTTTGTTTAGAAAAGTGTAATTTTAATTGTAATGTTTACTGTTAATTTGTATTTTATATGTGTGTGGGAAAAACAATAAAAAAACAAATAAGCAAATCTTTACACCAGTTCTAGGACATTACTTCAATTTTCTAAATGAACAGTCCCCATAAAACAATAAAACACATTTTTTTTTTTGGCATATATGGTTGGAGTGAGCCTTCAAAAACAATTAACTTATAAGCAAATGAGCTTGTGCAAAAGAATGCTGTAGGGATAGCTTATATTTAGGAATTAGTTACAAGTGTTTAACAATAGCTACTTTTGTATTTTTGTCAGTTTTAGCAAGTGAGACCTCTATGGTGGTGAAGCAAGCCACTTACTCTGCCAATGAACGGTACCAAGTGCTAGTAGAGAATGACAAGTTACTCAGACAAGGTACAATTATAACCTGTTCATTAATGCTGCCATAGCAAGAGGAATGATTATGTTTTATTATGTTATTATTGTGTGTTATCAGGGGTTTATTTAAGAGCCGGCGGCCGGCGCATTCGATCGGCTACTACGATGTTTTCGCCGGCTACTTCAATCAATGCTGTACAAAAATTAATACAAATACCACCAATATAAATAGCGAAACAGGCCTGTAAAGAACCTTATTTACCTACACGAAGTTAATTTGCAATAGTATGCATTCATTGCGATGTTCCTTTCTGTTGAAAGTTCGTTAAAATGTCTACCAATTTTCGGACTCCATATCATGAACTCGCGGCGTAAACAAAGTTAAAGTTCAAAGTTCGGCAGTCGCGTCTTGGTGAGTCCATCAAAGAAGCCACGCCTCCAAATCACATGTTAGCCAATAAGATAATAGAAATTTCTCCTCCACCACGTGCTCAGTTGATGACGATAATACATCGCCCAAACTCTTACTGTACATTGGCAGAGATCCCAATTCTCCCGAGAATTGCGGGTTTCTCCCGATTTTTGAGGCCGTCTCCCGCCCTCCCGATTTTTATTATTATCTCCCGATTTTCTTTAATATCCCGAAAATTTCACGAAAAATGTGATTTCCACGATGTCATAGAGCAATGAAACAAAAATTCTTATCTTAAGCCAATATACTATGGC